TGCTAGCTACCACCCGCAAGTTAACAAGTCAAGTCTTATTTAGCTTAAATCTCCTTTAGTTGAAGTTGAGTGATCAAAAATATCTTCTCAAAGAAGATAAACGAGGGCAATTTTGCTCAAGTTGCAGGCCTATATGTTAAACATTCAGCCCCATTATCAGAGCTGTTCCTGTGCAGTCATGACTGAGATTACCTGTCCTATACGGACCTCCAGTGGTGCTTAGCGGGCAGGCCCCAGAGAACCAGCCCGGGTTTTACCTCCCGTCAGGTCGGATCGCGGGGTTGGCGTGACGAAAAAAACTGGGGCGGAGGTGAAGAGAAAGTGAAGGAAATGATATAGAGAGCTAAAAGAGAGGCAGACAGAGAGAGTGGGGCAAATATCTGCAGCTCACTGACCTTTCTAAGTGGATTACATGCCCCGTCAGTGCTATGGGGGTAAACGAGAGGGTAGAGAGAGGGAGTGAACAGCATGGAGAGAGAGAGAGATTCTTTATTTAGGCTGATTTAGGCTCTGTTCAGTCTTTTATTTTATCACAAAGGGCAACAGATTTGTAGTAAATCAAACACTAGTGCACCTCAGCCTGCAGCTAATATGACTAGATAATATAAGATTGCTTCATATTATCCAAACATGTAATAAACTGCCAAATTATGCATTAATTACACCTTCAATATGACATTGGTACTGTCAATATAATACATTAATAATGTCATAAAATAGATTGGTGATGTAATAATATAGATTATACCATTATTTAGTGTGCAATTATTTCATCTTTTCCACCTAATAAAGTAATAATGGCCACATAATGTAATAAAGTGGTGACCCTAGGTCTGGTTCTCATATATGTTATGACAATGGTTCCCAAACTGGGGGTCAGGACCCCCACAAGGGTTCACAAGCTGTATCTGAGAGGTTGTGAGATGACTAACAGGAATATGAATAAAGAAAATGCCTTTATTAGATCACACAATAGAGAGATTAATCTGCTGACACATCAGCTGTTCAGCACACCGAGAGGTTTTGCTTAGACGTGATGTGTAATGGATACAGTTTAAGAACGTTATTTCCTGCTTGATTTCATTCATTGATGCTGTTTGTTTTGGCACAATACATGAAGGGAGGTGGTTGGTACTTTCTTGTAAGGGAGGCGATATAGTTAGCGATTTTTAAAACAAAACAAATTTTAGGAAAACTGTTTAGGAGTACACCACCACACGCATAAAATCTGAGTTTAAAAAAATTAATTCATTCTTTATGTAACCAGAACAGTTGGATCTGCATTTATCAGTCCTAGAGCTTTGATCAGGCCTGACCTGACCCTGAACCACGGAGGCAATGTTGGGCCCAACCCTAACCCAAATTCTTGCTTAAAATTAATACATAATTAAATAATTTAAATAGTTAAAAAGTAAACTAGATTTTGCATATAATTTAGTGCAAATTATTATCAAACAACAGAAAACATCCATTCATTACATTTGCATGCATTATTTCTAAAGTATTACATAGATGTAATTCTGTCCGAGCCTGACACAAACCCGACCGACGGCAGCAGTTTTGGGCCTGAACCCAGCGGGTCACGTCGGGTGGAGAATCAAAGCTCTATTCAATCCCTGTAACATCCAACATAGCCCTTAGTTCACAACACTGCTCTCTAGCAACTGGTGCAAATCTATGCAGTGTTTTCAAAAAACAAAATTTCCTCATATGACCACCCCTAAGAGTGTGTGAGTTTCCATAAAGTTGGCACAGTGCGGCTCTGACAGCACACAGCTGCAGCTGGTTTAAGTGGAAATCTCCACTTAAACCAGACTGTCAGACTGAGCATCTATGAATGTTTGAAAGCCTTATTAGAGCAAAAGTGAGCTCCGCCGTGATTTTCTGGATGAACACATGTGGAGGGGAGCGGGGTCAGTGTATAGACGACAGGAAAACAGATGGATGAAGAGAAAGAGAGAGAGAGATGGAGGTGAAAAGAGTGTGAGCTGCAGGCCTGGGCGTGGGAGAGCAGACTGCATTGAGCTGAAGCAGACCAGAGACTAATCTGGAGATTCAGGGCTTGTAAAAACACCTCCACACAAACACACACACACACTTGACTACCCATGTGCAAATGTATTCAGGCAGTGTGTGTGTTGGTAACCCGTCTACGCTCCAGTCCAGATAACGGTTTGCACGCATTTTATGTTTACTGCCAACATGCGACGTTCTGCGTATCTTTTAATCCAAAACTCCTGACTTTGACGTGTGCGTGCATTATACTCTCGCTGGGAATCAAACCCTCAACCCTGGCTGCGAATGGTGCCTCACTTTAGGCACGGAGCTGCATAGCGATGTGGCTCGTAGGCATCAGGGCATAGATCTGTGTGGTTTCAACAGTCTGTCAGTCTGTGGTTAACACCTGTTTTATAACTGCGGACACATCCTGTACACACACTCGGGAATGTAATGTATACATGCACTATCTATCTGCATGTGTACAAACACAGGCCACATGTGGAAATAAACTGTTTAGATTACTTTGCGGAACATAAAAACATATTAAACATGTATGATTACAAAAATATATTGGCTAGAAAGAAAAATAAGAACTAAAATGAAAACTAATAGTAACAGAATTTGATATAAGTGGATTAAGGCTGCTGTTAAAGAGACAGATTATTGGCTAAACTATTAGATATTAACATTAATTGTTCGACTAACTGAAACCCAAATATATTTAATTGTAATGAGTGATTTCATTTTTATGTGCAGCAACCTTGAATTTCAAAGTGTTTGTAATATTACAGGTTTTATTATTGATGCACACTGAGAGGCAACTTCTATATTGTAATATTCACACTGCACACGGTCAGATGTTGACCTTTGTCAGAGACCGTGTTATAATGTTGCTTGTGAGAGGCCTTGCAGGAAACCTGATATTGTATCCACAAAGTGTTGAAACACACACATACACACACTCAGGCATGTATAGTAACTTAATACAGACAAACACACACGTGAGTTCTGGCTGAAGAATATTTTATGTTAAAGCTTTGCACAGAAGGTTCACACTGTTGAATACAGATGTGAACAGCTGTTTTTACATGTTTCCATCTCTTATACTTACTCGTATACTTCTACTCGACTATATTTCAGAGGGAAATATTGTACTTTTTACTAGTTATCAAGCTACATTAGAGAGAGAAAGAGAGTTTATAAAATACGATGCATTTTTGTAGGTTAAACTACAAAATAGAACAAAATGTAGTTTAAACCAGCTCTAGCTACAAATGTAATCATACAAATAACATTTAAGTAGTAAGTATTTCTATATTGCAGTATTACTATTTTTACTTCAAGTAGCAACAAGGAACTTTCATTTTCTGTTGATTCTGGCGCCCCCTGTGGACAAAAGCGGTAGCGTTCCTTCTGCCTTGTATTATTGATTTCAAGGGGAATCCGACCCAGTGATAGGCGTTAACAATAACTACATAGAAACAGCAAATCTTCGAGATTATAGTCTTGTTTGCTTATGTAGGTCATACAGAGGCAGCAGTGTTAAATTGAGACCGTTTTATAACCAGTTAAAAACTCCTTGTAGTAGCTTTAAGTACAGCATCTGGAGGATTTCCTCCATCACTGGTTGTTTTGAACTCTGTGCCGATGAGGTAAAACTGTTTGGGGGGAGGGGGGTCAGTGTGGGAGACAGTGTGTTGTCACCAAACATATAACCTCCCTTCAGTGATCTCACTGTGGGAATCACTGGGCTGAGGCTCCAAAACATGTGCCTCCAGTTTCACAGTCTTCAATCTGACCCATTCAGTCCTTCACTTGCCTCTACTGAGCTGTTTTTATATCACTGTAAATTCAACAACTTTGAGTTTTTACACTAAACAATGAATCAATTAATCAGGGTACATAGATGAATCTACACAGAGAAGTAGTCACAGCCTTACTGTCTGCACTGACCAATAAAACGATAACAGAATGAAAACCATCAACACAAACACGGACACACAAAAAGGTTTCGCAGACACCGAAGAATGCTGACTTGTCTGTCCTCTCTCGTGCACTCTCTGCCTCTCCGTGTTTCTCACAACCTGGCTGCCTGGCATGCGTGCAATCGATGCCCGTCTGGCATTCGCTGTGTCAACAAGCATGGGAAAAGTTAATCAACAGCTTGGCACTCCCACTCCCATCCCTGCCTCCCTTCTCGGCTTTCCTTTAACCCTCTTCTCCGCAACTTTTCCCACTCTCTGCACCCCCGAAAGGCACTTCCTGTTGAGAAAAGTGAAGGCTTTTTGGGAGATAAAGTTTGATAAAAGCTTTTTTTTTTTTGGATCAGCTGGTTGTTTTCTTGCTCCTCGCTGACCTTGCATTGTCATCTCATCGTCAGACAAACCTGCAGGGACATCCACAGACCTTTCAGGCTGCCTGCAGCAGGCAGTGCTGCAGTGGTGTAGTGATGGAGCGCCCTCTAGTGGCGCTGTTGAATAAATCCACTTTGACTGAAACATAATATTAAAGAAAATTGCAAGCAGAAACATGCAAATAACATGACATATTTATACTTTTACTTCCTACATTTTTACCCAAAAATCTGTACTTTTTACTCCCTACAGTTTCAAAGCAGGCTTGTTACTTTAGTTTTTAATGCATTTGAGGGGGAATTTTCAATTTGTATGATTATTATTTTGCATCATTGCACGCCTTCCCAAAATCAAGATCGATGTCGATTCTATTTGACTCTTTGCACAGAAATTGGTAGAAAATGTTCTTCAGAGATTACATTTTACTTTTATACTCTGAGTACATTTCAGAGCCTGTACTTTTTTACTTTTACTCGAGTATGAAGTTGAATCCCTTATTCTGCTTTCTTTTTTTGTGTCTGTACTACTACTTGAATAAGTTCTACTATTTGAACCTCTACGCTGTTCTTTTGTACACTGATATATATACAAAAAATCAAAAGCATTTAAAACATCCTCATCTCTCTTTTTCTTGTCTCCCAACAGGCTTGCCATGGGTGTGCGGGATCCAAATGTGACTGCAGTGGAGTGAAAGGAGCCAAGGTAGGCAAAAACACACGACCCACTGCATGATGTACAGAGGTCATTACGGGGAAACACACAGACGAATGCTGCAGGACCCTTTAAAAAGGTTTATGCATGATAATTTTGCACTGAAATAACAGCAGATACAATATTTTTTTATTCGTGAAATATGATGATGGCATAAAGATAAAGGCTATCTTAACCCCCATTTAATTATTACATTATATTAGGACATGTTGTTCTTATTATGTATATTTCAGCAAATATAACGTCTCCTATAAAGACACATTTTATATTCTAACAACTGTTTTACTCTATTGTCATTTATGATCTGTCAGCAGCCACAGGAAGAGTAATAGGTGTCGACAAAGCAATTATTAAAAGTTAATACTCTGCTTATAAATGCTGAATAAAGGGTGTTAAAGGAATATAATTTAGTGTATAGTTGTGTATGTTAATGGCTGTGTATTTGTATGTGTTTGTTTGCGTGTGTCAATATGTGTGTGAGTGTGATCGGGGGGGAAAAAAGTAAGTAAATAAGTAATGTATTAAGTTCTGTATCTGCGTCACTGTGCGCAGGGTGAGCGGGGTTTCCCAGGTCTCACCGGACAGCCAGGAGTCCCAGGATTCCCCGGACCTGAAGGGCCGATCGGACCCAGAGGAGAGAAGGTGGGTTTGGGGTCCATTTGAATGACGTTTGGTTTAAATTTAATAACAGTCCAGGTTTTGACTGAGACCTCACTTCAGGTTGGGCATGGAGGACACATTTGGTTCTATTTCTAGTTGAGATGAGAACTGTATTTTAGGGCTACTTCCTGTAGGTATTCAGGTAGAAATTGCACGTCTACGCTTTTATAATCAGGATTAGGTTTAATTTGAAACATTTCCTGAGTATAAACACATTTTTGCATGAAGTGTGCCTCCCCTTTAAAAGCAGAGAACAAGTAAACAAAACTGAGGATCTGAGGTGTCTTGGTGCAGTCTTTCAGTACACAACAGTTGAATCTGATCCAGTTTAATAATGTCTTAAATGTTCTTCCTCTCAGGGTAGTGATGGACTTCAAGGACTGATTGGTCCAAAAGGAATAAGAGTAAGTATATCCATTGTTCTTTCTCTCTCTTTTTTTGCAGTTAACTCTTCAAATTATTCTCACACTGAGAAAAAAACTCTCTTTAAATCAGGTTTACATTAATATATTGGTTTTTCTCCTCACTTCAGACAGGTTTAGTAAAAGTTGAATTTAAGTTTGGGTAATTTTCCCCTGTTGATTCATGAGGATGAATTGTCCCAGGGTGTCTAAGGATTTCAGGTTGTAGTACCCCTTTCTAACCAGCAGATGTCCATATTCAGTCAGTGAGCTGAATCTTGTGGGTTTCACATCTTCTTTATTTACTGATATTTATTATTTTCCTCCTCGCAGGGGCCTTCTGGATTGCCAGGATTTCCAGGAACGCCTGGACTTCCAGTGAGTTTTCCCATTATCTAAAACTTCCCACTCTTACTTTGCAAAAAACCCAGGTAGCATGTGTGATGTAACTTCCTGTTTACTTCCTGTTTCCCAGGGTCTGCCCGGACAGGATGGACCTCCAGGCCCGAGAGGAGTGCCGGGTTGCAACGGGACAAAGGTATCCAATGAAAAGTATTGTGTAAATTAATAAAAAGGCATTTGGAACAAACTCAACTAAAGTTTTGTAACTGAATGAACTGACAATAATTTAAACACTAATTAGATAAATCTGAAAAGACAGTACTTCCGCAAAAATAAAACAAGAAATTAAGATGCTTTTGATGTATTGTAGGATAATACTTAGCAATATTCTTACACTAAAGCTAATTCGTGCCCAGCTTTGAATATCTGTAGAAATGTTAGATTTTGAGTATTTATTTCCAGATTTGTATTATTCTCAGCTTGAAAGAGCCTCTCTAATGCCATGACATAAACATTTTGTGGTTTTTGCCCAAGAAATCTTAACTCAATGTCCACGTATTACATTTTTCCTGAGTACTTTTTCTCAAACTAATGTGCTTCATGCTTGCTCTTCTCTCCAGGGTGAAAGGGGTTTACCGGGAAGTTCAGGAATCGTCGGACAGCAGGGAAGGCCGGTGAGTTTGCAGCAGTGAAAAGAGGAAGTCTGTTTGTTATTATCAGACTGACAGAACACAATAATCACTGTTCTCCTTTAACATTTGCCTTCTTTCTCTCCTCCTCCTTTATTTCTCTTTTCTAGGGTCCACCTGGTCTGCCAGGACCAAAGGTGAGTGTGTTGTCAAGGATTAGTGCATTCATCTTCATTTGACTGTTTTGTTACTTTTATCATTCTTATTGGTGCAAAGAGTTTTATATATTTCCCATCGTAGCTTCACCCAACTTTAAAACACTTGTGTGGGTGCATCACATGTCAAAAGAACAAAATATTAATATGAATATAATTTAATTGATTTGAGTAGTTGAGTAAGTAAAAAGTGCAAGAAATGTTCAAATAAAATAATAAAAAAGTGTATTATTATTCCAGTGTTGAACCTAGGATGAACACCAAATATATAAAAGGTAGCACACATTCTTGTTGTATGTATGATTTTCATTTAAAAGCAAGCATACAATAAAAGGTATGTTACCTAATCATTCTCTTGGCTGTTCAACAGTAGCATTAGCAACAGTAATTCACCAAACACTCTTATTCTTTTTTCAAGGCTTAGTATTAGATTGATTTACATCCTACACCCTATTAGGGTCAAGAAAGTGTTTCATCTTTAAAACTTTGCAACTTTTACAAATGTTCAGTAAAAGTGAGCTTTGAAAACACAACAAACAGATACAAGCTGCTCATTTTGTTTGATTTGAGTAGACGTTTCTATGACTTGAAGCCTTTCCTATAATATAAAACTTTCCACTTGTATTTTTATGTTTTGCCACAAGATGGTGCTGTTTAATTGTGGGACCATTCTCAACAGTGTCTGATATTTTGAAATAACAAACCTCAAAGGAACAACAGATGCTTCTTTGCCTCTTGTTCACAAACCACTGACATTTCAGTTTCCTGTGGTTTCTCCTCTGTAGGGAGACCCAGGTGATGTGATCTCCACCAACCGTTTTGGAGAGAAAGGATCAGTGGGATTGCCCGGGCTGCCAGGAGTTCCTGTGAGTTTTTGTGCATTTTAACTTGTTAAAACTTGCAAACTTTTGTTTTAAGTACCAGTGGAGATCTAGTGGCAAAGTTTCCAATGATACCAAATAAATCAGGGTGAATTTTAGGGGAAATGTTTGTAAAATGATCAAAATATTCCTATTCCTAATACCGTTGATGGAATGATGATGCTATAATAACATTTTGGGTTTGAATATTTCACATTCATCATATAGCATCAGGTTACTGAAGAGCTGGACCAAACTGATACAGATATGTGAGTCAGACAGAGTGAAAAAAGAGGATTATTCCAAACTTAAAGCCATAAAAAAGGGGAAACAGAGAGCAGAAAGCTGTATATTGAAGGGTTGTGTAGATAGACTGACGCACAAATTTTGATTTGATCATTTATATATTGAAATATTACAAATACATACATAAATACATCATGACATGAGTACATATTTTAACATCTAATGTCTCAATATCACTCGATATGTGAATATATATGAATTTATATCTTGTTTGTGTAAAAACTGATATGACAAATTCAATATAAACAGGATAAAAACTCTATGTTTGTGTGTATAACATTTTTATACGTGTGTTCATGGTCACAGGGCTCTCAGGGACCCCCCGGTTTGCAAGGTCCACTGGGCCCTCCAGGACCCAGAGGTTACGAGGTAAATAAGCTCCAAAAACCAAAACATCATATCACCGTGGACAATTTGTATTTTATGTCTATTTCCATTGCTGGAAGTTGAATGACGTTAAGTATAGTCCAACAATATTGTTTTTCTGGTGTTTTTTTCCAGGGTCGTCCAGGTCCTCCCGGTCCTCCTGGACCAAAGGTGCGTTCAAATGCTGACAAATCTTTAGAGAATTGGTTGGATTTTGTTGTTTTTTTTCATCAAAACAAACAGCAAAGATGAAATGATCGTGCATTTGTCATTTTATTATCCCGTTGACAATTAAGTATCCTGAAACTGAGTGCTTGTTGTTCGGTCATTTAATGTTTCTTTGCTTCCTCCAACAGGGAAACATGGGATTGAACTTCCAAGGACCCAAAGGAGAGAAGGTATTTATTGCGTTAGCAGTGAAAATTGTAATTGATTATTGTCATCATCTCCCACTATAAAAAAGCTTAAAGAATAACCCTTAATCTAATCTGGTGTGTATCTGTGTGTGTGAACACAGGGTGATCCAGGTTTGCCAGGACCTCCTGGTCCTCCGGGACAAGTGGGAGAACAGAAGAGACCACCTGAGACAGAGATTCAGAGAGGAGACAAGGTAAAACTACAAACCTGAGAGTTACGCAGATCTTGCGTAATAAAAGCTATGTTAAATAGTTGTGACGGAATTGACATCAAATTGGCTCCAACTGAAGCTGAACTGAAAGAAAAACAAATGTAAAATAACTATATATATAATAATATAATAATTCATGTACGTGCAAATTTAAAAATGGACTCGTGTATGAACTGCTCGATACTGCAACTTTCTCTCCAGCCACTTGATGGCAGCAGATTATCTTTGTATATTCACAGACACTTGAGATATTTCTTTACTTTGTTTTGCTTATATTTTCACTTTAGTGAGTATTGGGAGGCTGTCAATGTATATCCCTGCAAAAATCTCAATTTAAAGAAAGATATTAAAGGCTATAAATGGCTAGAAAGCCTAAAAACAGTACAGGAATTAGTTGTACCATTGTACATGTCTCATAATCACTTTATAGATTTGGTGCATCCCTGTGTTCATATTTCTTTATGTTGTGGTTTTAAACATTTTGTACCCAGTGCATTCTAATAGATAAGATGGTAAGGTCCCTGATTACTAAAAGAGCAACCATTAGCAACCAGTAAAGCTCAGACATCCATCATTGAAGGGCTTTTTTTTAATTGTTAGGTTGAAGCTTTGAACTTTCTTATCTGTGTTTTGTCTGTAGGGTGACCCCGGTCTTCCAGGTCCCAGAGGTGATCCAGGCTATCCAGGACCTCCTGTAAGTATCTGCACCCACCTGTAAACTTTAACTTTGTAAAAAGAACCTGTAGGCAAAATGCGCTACTGTACAAAGAAAAACCATTTGTGTTGTTGACGTGTGTTTTGTTGTCATTGTAGGGTCCCTCAGGTGGCCCGAAAGGAGACAAAGGAGAACCAGGAGAACCAGGCAAACGAGTAAGTAAAGTTCACACATAAACTGATACATAAATGTACTTATTGTTAGGACCTTCATTGAAATAATATTTTTCCTAACTTCAACTTAAACCATCACTTTGTGTGTCATTTGTAACCCTTTCCTACAGCTTAACTAATTGTAAGAAACTCGAAAAAGGGCATGTACTAAAGCTACAGGCGAGGTGATCGGATGAATCATCTGTCGATCTCTGTGTATCATGGGCGAACAACAAATAAATGTAGTCAAACTCTTACCAAGACCAAAAACTTATTTTCCATCTAACAAAGCCTTCAGTGCCATTCTTTGCTCTTCTTTCACTGAAGAAATACTCTCCAGTTCTGATGTAACTCAATTACTCAATTTAGCAGCATCTATGCTAACCACTTTAGTAGCCGCGATTGGTCAGTCACTTCTCCCACACGTCGTCACACACACCTAGCGTTAACTATCCCGTCATGCCATAGCTGCCAATAGCTCCGCAATGGACGCTGATCTGATTCTGCCTTTTGACGAACTGAGGATGGGCACTTTCCATATCCTCATTTGTATCTAAACTGGTCCTCACAAAGACAGCGGTATAAGGCCAGCTACACATATTAATACTTCACTATTTAAAAAACAGAGCATACATTTCTGTCTGGACTTCTTCCCGATCACAGTTTTTCTTCTATCTTACAGGGCAAACCAGGCAAAGATGGCGACCCTGGTTCTCTGGGTTTCCCTGTGAGTTCTCCCAAAGAACTAGACACTTCATAACATTTATTGTTTCCCAAAACGAAAATTGTCAAGTCCTTTTTTTTTTTTTAAATCTCTGATTCACATGTCTTTTTCCTTGCTCAGGGAATCAAAGGAGAATCAGGCCTTCCAGGTCCTCCCGGCAGGGACGGAGAAAGAGTAGGTTTTCTCCAGCTTTTTTAATCAATTTTAAAACTATATTATAACAAGTCATATGGTGATGTAATGAATTGTTATCATAGCTTTCCCCTGTTTCTCTCTTTTTAGGGAATTAAAGGTGACATTGGATATCCAGGCCCACCGGGAGTGGTGTGTATATAACATTTTTTTCATTTGACAAAATAATAACTTAGGATCCACTTATAGTTTTTTGTGGAGCAGCACCTCACTGCCAGCAGATAGTTTGCTACATTGTCCTGGAGATATTTTTCCCATTACAATTCTGTTTTGCAAATTTGTATTCATGCTTGGGAAACCGTATTAAGGATGTTCTAAAAGAACTGTCCCAAGTGCTATTGAGCAAGGCAACACAGTTACAATAGAAGACTCTAGCTGTACTGGCAGCTTCAGTCCTATGAATGTTTGTAGCCCTAAAGTAAAAGTTTAAAAAGTTACAAAAAGTGCTCTCCATCTAACTTTTCTTGTCTTTTATAATATTTATTTATTTGACCACTACTAGCATTTCCTTTGGTATCTAATAATGAACAAAATTGCAAATTGGAAAAGATGTGCTCAGTGCACTACATTCTAGATGGCGACATTTTCCTCTCTCATCTTGATTTAATTTCTTCCCTATATATATTAAAGTAATTAACATGTATTAATAATCATTATTGTTACTTTATTAAATTTATTAATGAAAACATCAAATCAATTTGTGCCTGTTGAGTTCATACTTTTATTCTGAAATACATCTATTTCTGATTGTCCCTCCAGGTGTTAGGTGGACAGAAAGGAAGTCAGGTTGGCCCTAAAGGTGACCCCGGGTACCCCGGATCACCTGGACTTAAAGGAGACAGAGGACCAGCAGGTAAATACAAACAGACATAAAACACTCATATATTATTTGCAATCAGGTTGTTTAATGCTAAATGCCAAAGAACCACATTGCTAACCAGCCAATGAGCAACCTTTGTCTAATTATATTGTGAATATAACATCGGAATTCCTTCATGGCCGTGCTTTTTGTTTTGTTTTTCTAGAAAGGGTAGCAGGTTGACTAGTTATCTTGACCAGATTAACGTAACTGTAAGCTAGTGTGGTTATTTTGAATTTGGAGGGTTAGCTGACAAGCTAATGTTAATGGTAAGTGATTATGTGGCACTACCGGCTGAGTCAATGAGATGTCTGCTGTTTCCTCTTAATTTTATATACAAATTCAAATTCTTGTCTTCTTCAGGTTTAACAGGACCTCCAGGAGCACCAGGACTTCCAGCTACTGGTGGTGGTGGTCAGCCTGGAGCTCCAGGTTTCCCAGGAGAGAGAGGTCAAAAGGGAGACTCCGGCACTCCAGGGCTTTCTTTGCCAGGTCCCCCAGGACGTTCAGGGTCTCCTGGTGCCCAGGGTCCACCTGGGCTCCCTGGACCCCCAGGATTTTCCTCAGCAGGGCAAAACTGCATCGTCGGAGAGCCCGGACGTCCCGGCGTGCAGGGAGAGAGGGGTTACCCAGGAGAGACAGGCCAGAAAGGTGAGAGATGCTAGTGCAAGAAGACGACTAGCCATTATTTGTGTATATGATGGCTAAATGTTCAGTATAACAGCTTAAATATATAAAATATAAAAGAAAACAATGACATGTTCTGTAAGGTTTAAGCTAAAATGTCATAATAAAAAAGATGAAAAAGTGGATTAAAATTAAGATAGTGAGTACCACCACACAGAAAACACTGACCTCAGTGATCTGTTGCTGTTTCAGGTGACAAGGGCGATACTTGTGTGAACTGCTTTGGCGGTAGCAATCCCATCCCAGGACCACCAGGACCTCCAGGACAACCCGGATTTCCTGGTAAGAACACATAACTTAACAGATTCCCGTATGAGACATTAACACCTTCTAACTGGGGCTTGTGCAGGTTTAAGATGAAGGTATGACAAGTGAGCAGGTGTTTATTTATGTTTATATATGTATATTTATATGATTATTGTAGTGATATTGTGTATTTTGGCCAAAATAATCATGATAATGATTATATTTTTATATCAACCCATGCTTACTTTGGGTGCTCACATCATTGTAGTTATTGTTCTCAGTGTGGACGGCCCTTTACTCATGAGGAGTTCATTATTTTTGTCCTTGCTCTTACTATTTTTCTCTTTAATGTAAAGCGATTCAGCAGTGTGGTCATTTATTATATAAATTAGACAGAACTTTGGAAGAAAGCATGTTGATAAAAGTTTGTACTTTGTCACTGTCAATCTGTCATTCACTCTGAGCAACGTAAATCTATAGTGCATTATTGTGTCACTGTTACTGTATTTGTAACTCCTTTCTTCTCCTCCATCAGGATCTCCTGGCGGCCAAGGTATTAAAGGAGACAGAGGATTTCCGGGAACACCTGGTGGCATTGGACCCCCTGTGAGTACTTTTTACTTTCCCATAAACAACACATATCATCTTTTAACAGATATACCTGACATACAAATTGTAAACTGGGGGTTTTGGACTTTGGATGATGTCTTGGATGATATCTCTATTATTTTGTTTTTGTATCTTGATTTTTCTATAAATTAAGCACTATAAGGACATTGTTTGAGCTCTAAAATACTCGCTGATATCAACTGGTATTTTCCATGCCTGACCAGGAGTCAGAGTTTGATTGAGGTCATTGAACTTAATCTTCGTTTCTTCGTTTCTTTTCCAGGGTCCCGCCGGTCCACAAGGTTCTCCAGGATACCCCGGAGAGAAGGGAGACCGAGGCGATGCCATCACAGTTGACGGTGTTAGGGGCGAGAAGGGTGACACCGGCTTCCCTGGATCACCTGGTCTGCCCGGCCTGGACGGTCGACCCGGTCGCGATGGACAGCCTGGATCTCCTGGGCCCAAAGGAGCTCCTGTAGGTGGCTTTCTCTCAGTCTGTCCATCTATTAGATTGATCGGCCCATCCATGATTCATAACTAATATGTGTTCGACAGGGCTCTCTGCAAGTAAAAGGAGAACGAGGGGTCCCCGGTGAGCCAGGTTCCCCAGGTATTCCAGGAGACAGGGGTCCTCCAGGACCCCCTGGCTTTGGACCTCAGGGGCCTAAAGGAGATAAAGGTGTCCAGGGCGTTTCAGGAAGACCCGGAGGTTCCGGCGCACCTGGTAAGAAAATTAAAGGAATAAAATACCTATTGCTAATATAGGATAAAAACAATAATAATAATTGATGAGACATGATGGAAATAAGTAAAAACTAGAATGAATAATGTACAGGCACACCGTCTTTTATCTGCCCGCTGACGCCATCCAACCATCTCTCTCCATGCAGGAGCTAAAGGTGAACCAGGTCTGTCAGTAGCAGAGAAAGGCTTACCAGGACCCAGAGGACAGGATGGCTCACCAGGACTTCCCGGCTCTCCAGGTACACAAGTGTTATTTTACAGTAAAGGACTTTTTTATCACGCACTGCTCACTCAATGTTACTGTGTTACTGTCTGATTGGCTTTTTGTTTGTAATTTTCTGTTGTCAGGTAACCCAGGTCAGCCTGGACAGAATGGTTTCCCTGGTTTACCAGGATCGAAGGGTGAACCTGGACTCCCTGGCATTGGACTCCCAGGACCCCCAGGAGCTAAAGGTGAAGACATGCTAACCTTTGCAGCTTTTTTCTCCCATCTTCCTCCTCTTCCTTCCTTGACTTTTACATCCTCTATTAAGTACGTCTTATGGCTTCTCCTCATGCTTACCTACCTTGTATCACATTTTTACCTCCCTCCTCCAACCTCACCCTCTGTTCTTTCTCCCCACAGGATTCCCAGGTATCCCCGGCCAGCCAGGAGCTCCTGCAGGACCAGGCAGACCAGGAGTAGATGGACTCCCTGGCCAGCCTGGATTTCCTGGATCAAAGGTAGGTTGATAGATTAATAGATTGACAAAGTACTTAATTAAAGTTTAAGATTACGGTTGTAAAACCTTTCATATTATGAAATCTTTTGCATTAGAAACTGAACTAAATGTAGGACGATACTCTTAACTCTAAATATATACAATTAAGGTACAACCAGACTTGTTTTTTTTTTCATGAAAAGAAAAGATCTTCTGGATCTGTCTACACTAATCTTTACCTGGATGTTGTGATATTTTTGATTTCCATGGAGATGCTAACCAGTCTATAGTAAACAAGGTCCTCTTCTGATGAGTACAGCATAGTTAACTATACTAGTTAGACTACAGAGTGGATGCATTGGAAATGTTATATTTGAAATCAAGATTCAAGTCCAAGATTTGCATTTAAATTCATGTTTTCACATAGTACCTTATATACTGTAGCCTGTCTGAATGACTGAAATGTATTGTTCCATCTGTGTGTGTGTGACAGGGTGAGCCTGGTTTTGGCCTTCCTGGTCCCCCCGGTTTACCAGGAGTACCCGGAGGTAAAGGGTTCCCAGGACCAAAGGGAGATCCTGGTTTCCCTGGTGGCCCTGGTTCACCTGGACGATCTGGATTCGATGGCACACCAGGACCGAAAGGTATTCTGCAGTTCTGTCACTGTTTTTTTCTGCGATGGATAATTGTGTGAGTGTGATAGAGTACTATTGTGAACCAAACTGACAGTGACTTTCTCATCTCTCTCTGTCCAGGTGACCCCGGTTTACCTGGTATACCTGGAGCTCGTGGCCCACCTGGATCCCCCAGCATCGGCTCACTGGGGGCACCTGGTCCACCAGGACCACCTGGCCCAATGGGACCACCAGGTGAGAAAAATAAAGCTGTATTTCCTGCATTCTCAAAATTAAGCCCGACTATCAGTCATCATTATCACTGTGTTGAATGAAACACATCTACAGTACAGCTATTACCTCGTACATCAGGTTTAGAAGGAGCTTGTTTTTGGTAGCAAGATCTGTTTTTCATTTTGTACTGTATTTGTGCATGTTTTTACGTGCTCACTATTTCGAAATACTTGTTACTTTTTTAGTCACCCAGGACTGTGCATGACCACTCCTTGTCCATGTTTTGAGGTTGTAAAGGTGTCTGGATGTCTTTTGGGTACAGGGGTTCAAACTATATATCGCACACTTTCCATTTGAGCAACCGAGAGCACCCGAGCACCTGACTGAGGGTTTGTCTGGTTGATTGAAATGCACAGTCACCCTTTTGGTGGGTGATCAAGGTGTGTGTACAGATTGAATGAGTTTGAATATGTATCACGGTTACCACACTACTGGATGGCAACCATACCTTGATCTGGGGGACTAAAAGTGGGGAACTTCTCCTCACATCTACATCTTTTCTCCGCTTTTTCCCGCCTCTTGCTTCTTTTGTTTTTAAGACACCACCGAAAATGTCACAGCTCTCTCGCCCCTTTTTTGGCTGTATCACTTTGTTTGTACAGCTTCTGCATCACAGAGCAACACACGTCAGGCTTCACCATTTAAACGTCACTGAAGGCTCCTACTTTGTGAGCACACCAATCGTAATCTCAAAGAGTTTTCAGTTCACCAGTAATTGCGCCAGCCTCTTCTCTCTTCTTGGCACATCACCCCTTTAACCCCACGCCACCCTTCCTTTGAATGTACGCAAAAACAACTAACTAACCCACATCCAATAAAATCTTCGAATACTCTGAGCATGCGTCGGTTGCTGCTGGACACGTTCAGTGCATATTCAGAGTGTTCGAAAAACCGGCTTCATATAGATGTTTTAATGCATTTAATGCATTATAATCTGTTCTCCTCATCTCATCTTCGGCTTAATCCAACGCTCCGCCCTCTGCTCTTTGAAACACGCCACTCCCTTACCTGTGACGTTCTGATGCCAAGGCGAGAAAGGTATTGTAACCCAATACTGGTACTGGTTGATGGCCATTTAATGGTCACGCATGTCACTTGCGACCATGTATGATTATGGGTTTTTTTTTTCAAATACATAGTAAAAGTGTCATTTGAGATATTAAGAATCCATGTGTTTTGTGTGGATGGATTGTATTTTGTATTTTTTCATCACAAGGTGAATAAATTCCAGACAGCATTCAGTAAAAATCTAAACAATATAAACTTGATATCGTCGTTAAAGGATTCCCTGGATCAAACGGAGAGAAGGGAGACCCTGGCCCTCCAGGTCTAGACATCCCAGGGCTGCCCGGAGACAGAGGAAGTCCTGGTTTCCCAGGTTCCCCAGGACCAGTCGGTACCCCAGGACCTCCTGGAGGACCTGGACGGGATGGCCTGCCTGGACTTCCAGGTAAAATATAACGCTAACATCAATTATCTAATCTGCACCTGCGTCTAACTGCAGCAGATGGTTTGTAACACAGACCTATATAGGAAGTCATCAATGGAAACTGTTTGCAAAAGTGTTCAAAACTGTTAAGCAGAAAAGTTTCTCTTAAAAGTTGGATAATGGGAGGTTTGGTACTGGTGTTCTTCCTATACTGCCCACTTCGCATGAGTGCAGCTTTAGCCATAGACTGTATGGGAGCTGTAGTTGTTAAATACTAGCAAAATATTACAAATGAGGAGGTCTTCAAATGTTACTATCCAGTGCAGCAGTAACATTAGATACACATTTAGTGTAAAATACAAACAGAAATATTTTCTGCTCTAACTTCTCTCTGCTCTTCTGTCATGTCTGACTGGCTGCAGGTCAGAAAGGAGACATGGGTTCCATGGGATCTCCAGGACCCTCTGGAGGTTCAGGAGGCCCAGGTGGGCCTGGTGCTACTGGACTTAAAGGTATTCACATAAACACACACACTCCATACCTCATGCATAACTCTTGCATACAGATATCACATACAGTACATCCTAAGTTATGTTCAGCATTAATAGTGTGTCTGTAAACACTGGTAAAAGGTATAATTCATGATTCATTTTGTTACTTCTGTTGTTGATATAACAACATTTACTGACAGAAAGTGCAGTGCAGAGACAAAACAACAATGAGCAATGACGCCTAAGAAACAAAGGACATTGCTGATGGCCGTGCTAAATATCTCTGATTCCCATGTTTTCCTATCCAGGTGAACCTGGATTCCCAGGCAGAGACGGTTCACCAGGCGGTCCCGGTGCTAAAGGAGAGAGAGGTGACCCCGGTGTCCAAGGACCCCCAGGAGCCAGCCAGCCACCATCAGTCACAAAGGGAGCCAAAGGAGATCCTGGAATACCAGGTATAGCTGAAATACTTCTCTCAACAATGATTTTCATTTTGTCTCCAGTCTTAAGATCTTATTTTTCTCAGAAAAGTATGAGAGTATATGAAAGATTAATGACAAAATATAACACATTATATTTTTGTCTTTTGTGTGTATTCTACAGGTGCACCAGGTGGTCCAGGTCAGAAAGGCATCCCTGGACTCGCAGGTGACCCTGGGCTGCCAGGATCAGACGGACGCCCTGGACTCCCCGGACCACCAGGTATGGGTTTACCTCCAAAAACATACACAAAAGCACACTGTTCATAAATATACACTTTATATTTCTGACATGTTTCAATTGTGCTGCAGGTCCTAAGGGTGATTCTGGCATCCCAGGAGGCCCTGGTGTTCCTGGAGGTCCAGGACCAAAAGGCAGCATGGGAGAAATGGGATTCCCAGGTGGGTTCGACTGTCACATCTATCAAGTCTTTGTTTTCCAGTTCTTGGTGACTTATGACAAAATCAGGATTTAATATTGAAATACTTCCTTGCTTTTCATTATTTTTTTTCTCCTTCATCTTGTAGCCATAGTTACCAATTACCTTTAGTGAAAACAACACCTCATAATTACTAATTGACCGAACATGATAACATCGGTCTTGATGTTGGCTATTACGTGTGCCTTTTAGTCGACATAAGCGACTAAATGACGCCTGATTTCTTTGATGATGTGACAGGACCATCAGGACAGAAGGGTACACCAGGTCAGCCAGGTCGGCCTGGAACCCCAGGACAGCCAGGTGGACCTGGTTTCCCTGGATCCAAAGGTGAACCAGGCTCTGCTGGAGTTGGACCACCCGGACAATCCGGACCCAAGGTACAGGACACAACCACTACAACACATTTTCTACTTCAAAGGGCAAATTTAGGTTCACATCTAACCTTATTTATGTCTCTCATAGGGTGAACCAGGGCAGCCAGGATTCCCAGGAAGTCCCGGACTGAAAGGAACTCCAGGATCACCCGGTCTCCCAGGTTTACCTGGAGGGCCAGGTGCCAAAGGCGACCCCGGCCTGCCAGGATTCCAAGGTAAATCTGCCGTTCGACTACAGCAGGTTCAGACCCTCAGTAGTCATAAAAGCAGGTAACATAGGTGAAGTACAAATATGATGTTATCTACATATACTATTAAACCATTGACATTACCAAACATTACAAACAACAGACATTACCTAGCTGACTTAAGATGTGACTGTCTATCAGAGGTGTGGACTCGAGTCA